TGTGTGTGCATGTGAGTATGTGAGTCTGTCAGTGTGTGTGTGACTATGTGAGTTTGTGTGTGAGTGAGTATGTCTGTCAGTGTGTGTGTCTGTCAGTGTGTGTGTGTGAGTGTGTCTGTCAGTGTGTGTGTGAGTATGTGTGTCTGTCAGTGTGTGTGTGACTATGTGACTGTGAGTTTGTGTGTGTGTGTGTGTGTGTGTGAGTGAGTATGTCTGTGTGTGTGTGTGTGTGTGTGTGAGTGAGTATGTCTGTCAGTGTGAGTGAGTGTGTCTGTCAGTGTGTGTGTGAGTATGTGTGTCTGTCAGTGTGTGTGTGTGCATGTGAGTATGTCTGTCAGTGTGTGTGTGAGTATGTGAGTATGTCTGTCAGTGTGTGTGTGAGTATGTGTGTCTGTCAGTGTGTGTGTGAGTATGTGTGTCTGTCAGTGTGTGTGCATGTGAGTATGTCTGTCAGTGTGTGTGTGAGTATGTGTCTGTCAGTGTGTGTGTGTGCATGTGAGTATGTCTGTCAGTGTGTGTGTGAGTATGTGTGTCTGTCAGTGTGTGTGTGAGTATGTGTGTCTGTCAGTGTGTGTGTGCATGTGAGTATGTGTGTGTGAGTGTGTGTGTCTGTGTGGTTCTGTCAGTGTGTGTGTGTGTGGTTCTGTCAGTGTGTGTGTGAGTATGTGTGTCTGTCAGTATGTGCATGTGCGCATGTGAGTACGTGTGTCTGTCAGTGTCTGTGAGTTTGTGTGTGTGTCAGTGTGTGTTTTTCAATGAGTCTGTCAGTGTGCGTGTGAGTGTCTGTCAATGAATGAGTGTGTCAGATAAGTGAGTCTGGCTGTCAGAGATGTCTGTATGTTTGTCATTGAGTGTGTGTGTGACTGTCAGTGTTTATACACCCCTGACTGTAGCGTGGCCAAGCGGAGTGTACCGTGGTACAGGAACTTCTGTTTCCTGTACCTGGCAGAACTTACAGGAAAAGCTCACTGTACCGGGATTCGCTCCGCTCAGCCACGTTACAAAAAAGGTAGGAGGCACACCAGGAAGGGGAGGGGACCACTATGGGGTGGGTGGCGCACCAAGGGACAGGGAGAGGAGGGGAGAGATACCCTAAGGTACAGGAAAAGGAGGGAGGGGGGGAGAGGAACACTAAGCGACAGCCAACAGATGGGGGAGGGGAGAGGAACACTAAGGGACAGGGAAAGGAGGCGGGAAGGGAAAGGGACAGTAAGGGTCAGAGAAGGGAGAGGGGCCGGATGTGAAAGAAACACACAGCGGGGCTTGAGAAGGAAAGAGACACACACAAAGGAGCTGGGAAGAATAAAAGACACAAATGGGCTGGGAGAAAAGGAGTCACACAAAGGGGCTGGGAGGAGTAAGACACAAAATGTGGGAGGATGTAAGAGTCATACAAAGAGGAGAGATAGGAGACACACAAAGGCAAAAATAGGAGATAAAATATACTAAAGGGAGTCAGATATTTAAAAGACAGGATAAGAAACACAAAAGGGAGGTTAAGAGGCACATGGGTGAAGATGTTTTTGGGGGGGCGGAAAAATGCATCTTCGCCTATGTACCCAAAATTCTTTGCACCGGCCCTGACTATACACCGGTCATGTAGCCCCATGTAGCCAAAGCGCAGCTTAGCGGAAAAGGGCCTTCACAGGGGTTAGGAGGCGGGCTTAGGAGGAAGTGGCTAGGACTGGTGGGTTGTGGGTAGGGGGTTTGGCTATTTAAATAAGCAGCCATTTTGGAATCAGTCACTTTTAATTACCTACCTGGCTGAGTTTGTCCCTCCCACCCACCCTCCCTAGGATTTTGTTGGTTTAGTGGGTTATCCCGTTTTGTCACAGCGGTGGGATAGGGAGCTGAAGGAGAGGAAATAGGCTCCCCATTAGGAAGATTGATGGAAATTAAAAAATTGTGGTGATTGGTAACTTGGTAGGTTTTGAGTCCTGTCGGTGGCTCAGAACCTGGTGGGGTAGGGGTATCTGGGTATACCCCTGCCATGGTTAAAGTATGTTTGGCACTTTAAGTTATGTTCATGTTGAAATGATGTTGGAAGAATGTTTTAGATATATTTATATATATATATATATATATATATATATATATTATATGTTATTTATATGGGGCGGGGTATGGGTCAATGACCCATGTTTTCTATGTTAAGTTGTTATTATTATTTTTATTATTATTATAGTAGTATGGTTATTATCATTATATATATATATATATATATATATATATATATATGGTGGAGGGGGAGGAATTGGGCTATGGTGGAGGGGGAGGAATTGGGCTTGACTTACTATGAATAAAAATACGCTTGTATCATGGGGGTGGTTGTTCTTGAGGCTGGGCTATGAGTAGGTAACCTGAGGACATAGTCATTAGAATCCTGACCCTACCATGGTGGGTACAAGATTCATAGGACATAAATAAAGTGTTTAACCGATACTGCGACAATAATGGGGAATAGGCAGAGTCATGATTGGTCCTGTGGCTTCTGTAGCTAAAATATGTATATTTCATATCAAACTATGAGGGTAGTTTGAGCTATCCTGGTAGGACTTCGAATATTTAATTATATGGTCGTGACCACATGGGAAGGGGGTGTATGTGTGGGGAGTTAAGGATCCCTGGGCGTGGGCCTGTGTATGGCCTGGCGGAGGAATTGCGTGCCAGCGTTGGCTGATGTAACATAGAACAGTTAGAGTGGAGTTGATGTAGGTGTAGTGAAGCCATGCCTAAATAGCAAGGGTTGGTTAGGATGATGAATTTGATTGAGTAGAATATAAAAATGATGAGAAAATAACCTTTACTGCATAATACATGATTATTTGATGTAGAGTCAAGGGGATCGTATGATGGTATGGTAAAGACTGGTACACTAGGGCTTGTACAAGGGAACATGACGATACATATACTGAACATAGGAGTGTGGCGTGTTACTAAAAAGGTTTAGCAAATAGGTGGTGATGCTCCACCTATTGGGTTTGGAGTGAGTGTGGCACAGTTCACAGTTGGAGGACCGGATTGTAGGGGCTTATGTGGTAGGGTGAGTGTGGCAGGGTGAAGGGGACAGACTGATAGAGGATGAGTGTGACAGGGTTGGGGAATGTGTGCGGGGGGCAAGAGAAGGTCTAGTCAGACAGGATTGGGGGGTTAATGTGGTAAAGCAAGGGCAGGTGAGTTTGGTATGGTTGGAGTGGGTGAGAGTGACAGGATTAGGAGGGTTTAATATGAGTGTGGCTGGATGAAAGTGGTGACAGTGTGTGTGGGCTGATAGTGTTACTAAAAGTTTTGAATCCCACTGTTGGGTATTTTTATTTGGAAGGGGGAGGGGCGGCTATTGTCTTGGCAAGTAATTTTATGCATACTTGGCACAATTTGGGAAGGTGGACAATATTATGCCCTTCCCCCTTGTATATTTTATTGTTATCCCTCACTCTCTCTTAATGGACATTAAGTCCCCTTTTCCTGGGTTATTAATAATACAAGAGCCCTTACCAATCATCAATAGGTGGGGCTTAAGGGAAACTTAGGTCTGCCACCCACAGGTTGCAATTATTATATTTAGTGCCCTCACCCACCGCTCATATGTAAGGCATTGGGTGACAGTATGTTCCCACCACTTTATTATTTATTAGTAGTCACACCATGTGAGCATATGTGGATTCTATGACCGTACTTTATTATTTATTGTTTATTTATGGTGCCATATACTAAAGACTAATATCTTGATAAAGACCTTAAAGGGTCAAAATGTTGATCCCATGTTTTTGTACTTGTTTATATATATATATATATATATATATAATTTAAATGTCAACACATACCTGTGTATAAGCAAATAAAGAGGGATAGCAGCAGCATGTTAATTACTTCCCAGGCATGTGATTAACTGTTAGTGTGTTTCATTAATTCTTCTGTTTGTTGTTGTTTCCAGCCAAAAATCACAGATTTTGCATTTAATGATTGTATCTATGCACGCATAAGGCAAAATGATGTTGGGGGCGAGAATGTAGAGAGAAGAGGGGTGGTTTAGAAAACAATGATGTGTTTGAGTTAGACAGGGTTCAAATAGAAGAAGTTGCAGAGACCGTGACTTTACTTAATAACCTTTAAATGAAAGGGACAGAAATTGCAGGTAAACACTGGCGTATTCTAAACATTGTGTAAAACAAAATGTAGAAAATGCTTTATTATTTTCTGGAGGTACAGCATTATAAATCACGTTGATGTTTCTCAAGTTGGTCCTACTTAAACTGTTGAAAGATGGTGAAATTAAAAATTAATAGTGTTTTAAATGCACTACTTACGTGTAAATATCATGCACTTTGCAGCCTTCATTTAGAACAGGTGGAAAACATATTCTTTTCTTTGCTTGGTATTTCCATTCTTGCCTTCAGGGCTTTAACAATCACTTGCCAATTTTGGATATTTAACATAAAATTCTACCCTGTTTTTGGAGCCTAATGCATACTATAAATATTTATTAGAATCTGTCAAGACTGGTAAGTAAGCAGCATTCGCTTTCAGAAATGTTTTTTTTCATAATATATTTGAAAAAATGTTCCCTGTTCTACATGAGTTTTTATCATATTATGCAGCGAGAATTCCTATAATCTGTATTTTATACTCGGTGGCTGAATAATGGCTGTGCAATAATTTATAGAGAATAATTTGAAATATATTTAGACAGAGATACAGTTGTTGTTTTTTTTTTTCTTTATCCATTAGGGATTCAGGAAAACAGATACTGTTTAATAACATTGTAGTTTAATGCAGTTTTTCCTCTAAGGACATTCCTGTGAAGAAATAGCAATGGAACGGTTAAAGAAGGTCTGTCACTTTTCGGTATTACATAAAGATATAATCTACATGAAATACTGATGAGGACCGTGTTGAAATTTTACTGAGATGCCAATGCAACCCAAAATAATCATAGGACAAAGTAGGGACTACATTGTCTTATGGTAAAGCCTGAGGTTGACAAAAGTTGACAAAAACAAAGCTCCACTTTCAACTTTTGTCCAATCCCAAAAGCCATCACAGATGTTGGCAGTGGGATTCAGGCCCCATCATCTTTGTTTAGCGCATGCCCGTAAGCTAACTGTGCCAAGAATTCAACAAACATTTGGTTTAAGTGCTTTTAGCCATACTGCTGCATCTCTATGGAACACTCTCCCTTGTACAGTGAAATTAGCCACCTTAATGGACAGTTTTAAACAAAGACTCGGACCTACCTGATTACACAAGGCATTCAGTAATAGAATGTGTACCTTCTAAATATGTGATGGTATATCGTCTAAAGTGCTTTCAGGAGAAAAGCACTGTATACGTTGTTGTTATTATTATTATTATTTGTATATGAAGGATCCAGCTGTCTCATGGGATCCTCCGTAGACCTCCATGTACGAGACTACAGCACTGCCATGGCTCCTAGCAGCTGAAGCCTTCCCCCCCCCCCCCTTATGAGGAGGAAACTTCACTTCCTTATTATCTATTAAGTTATTGTACGATCTGAGCACTCGTTACATTTATTAGCTTCATAAAAAAAACCATTTATTGAAACAAATGAATACACTATACAATATTACGTAGATCAATTTTCTTCATCTCAAGTAGGTAGGAAGTCATAGAAAATG